AGAAAGACATTCCGTCGGCTGTAAAATGGGCAAGAGCCTGGGAGAAGATTTACAGCTCAAAGGGGTAGAAAAAGAATTTATAACCACAAGTTTTCTAAAGTAAATGCTCTGAGAAAAGGGATGTCTGGGGCTGATAGGAAGAAACCTGCCTAGAGTTTCATCAAGCGGGGAACGTCAGGCCGTCCTGGCCACACGTGAGTGGGCTGCAGGCTGGTGGCTGGGGGACACCACCAGTTGCTAATCCTCCCGTGGTCTGCTCCAAGGATGAAATTTATCTTCCAGGCAATCAGTCCCCCAGTCTTAAATGCCTGAGCCCTAAATTCTTAGCAATAATCTACAGCATGTGCTGGTTCAGTTCCTGTTATTGGCTGTCTCTTAATAACCTTCAGGTCAGGGGCGTTATTGATGCTCCAGCTTAATTCAAATTATAATGGGATAAATTATCTGCCATCTACAATCCTTGTTTATTGAATTTTGTATGATCCATTTAATTTAGGCCCTCCTATCTCTGAAGGTTGAAGCCTATTGAAAATCCATCTCTTTATCCTCTCCTGACCTAATTTATGTTTTCCCCTTTAACTTCTCCACCTACCTTTATTGCTGCCACAGCCTCGGAGGCTCCATAAGGCAGAGGCGGGTCTGAGAAGATTAACATTTTTATTGCCTTATTCGGTACCCTATCAAAGCCAGGCACATGCAAACAGGGGACTTGAGATGCTTGGCAGTGCCCCTCCCTGGGCCTTCTTATTCTGCCCAGCGACATGCGATCCCGTTGACCCAATAAACATTTCCTGAGCGTCTACTCTGTATTTTAAAAAGTATGTTTGAAACAGTGTGCTTTAACAGAAAGCATGGGGACCGCAGACACAGAGCAGGCGCAGATAATTGCCTTTGAGGAGGAGGTCACTCAGCTGGAGTCAGATGGCCCTGGGCAGGGTCTGTCAGATGCAGGTGGGGGGTGCAATGAGCAGAGAGAGCACCCCCGGGGGGTGAGGCAGGGAGGGGGAGCATGAGGGAGGGGTCCCCTAAAAGGATTTGAAGTGGGCCCACACCCCCAAGCTTGGGTTATATTTGGAAGAAAGGAGCTCAGGGCAGACAAGAGAGATGATAGTAATGAGGGAATTTCTTGGGAAAAGGTAGAACGGTGGTTTTGGAAGGAAAAGAAAATTCCTCAGAGGGAAACACCCCCCAGCAGACACCCAGTGGGCAGTTTGAGGGAGTGCGGGCCACCAAGCGCGGGGTGTTGGAGAAATCCCAGAGATGAGGAACACTTACCGTTAGCAGGCAGCCAATCGCTCATAGCTGATCGCAAGAGGTTTGCTTATTAATAATCGAAATCCGCAGCCTTCGTCCCGCATCGGAAACATGGACATCAAACACAGGCTATTTGGAAGTGTCTTCCAGCCCACGATGTGATGATGATAAAGCGTTTGCTGTTTGGAGAAAGCAGATGATTCGGGCAGGTGTTGATGGAAATGGTCTGGGAACGGACATCAGTGTCTTTTGCCCGTCACCGGTGAGGCTCGTGATACTGGTCCCGAGTTCACAATCGATGGAGCCAGGCCCGTCACGGGGCCACTGCCCGGCTCTGCTGGCTCATGCCATTTCATCGCAGGCAATTAGAGTGACTGACAGCCCTAATTAAGCTCTTATCTGGGCAGGCCCCTCCCTGCCGCATCCTGGCAGGAGCAGCGGCCCTGCCTCTGATCGCTTTGATTAGGTGCTTTCTCATCACGGTGGTTTTAGGTCTCGTCTAAATTTCCTCGCCACCTTTAACGAACATTCTCATCCCGTCTCTGTTAATGATTTTAAGATGCTGGTGCAAGGCACCTCCTAAGAAAACGAAAAAGTTACTATCTTGTCAGTTAAGTGGGCTCATCGTGCAGAAAGAGGGTTTTGCATCAGAATTGGAAGACACTTGGAACAGCCTTTGATTCATCGATTTTTTCATCTCTGACAGTATTGGTGTTGGCTGCAGAAGCTTCTGAGAGCAACCCTTCCCTTTCTGCCGGTTTAAAAAGAGAGGCATAATTTTTTGAGCCTCTGACAGCAGACTTTTTGGAAGGGATTGATGGAAGAAAATTGAGGGGAAAAATGCCTTAGCATTTTTAAATATTTGAGGTTTTCTGCCTTCTATGATGGAGTGTGTTTAAAACACTAATGGAGAGTCAAATCTCACATGACTTCCTTTCTGTTGTGTTTCCCTTCCAGTTAGACGCTGTGAGATTTTGAGCAGAGTCCGTGAGCATCCTGAAGGCTTCTCTTCACCCATTGCTTCAGTTGACATGTATTTTCTCTGTTGACGATCTCATTTTGTGACAGGCACAGTGCTTTTGGAAGTGCCTGCTTTTAGGACAAATCCAATATGCACAGTCTCCCTTCCTTGTTGCTGCCCAAACCCAGACGTTTCCAGTGAGGGTCGTCTCCCACTTCCCACGGCCTTGGCCTTGGCTGTCGCTCTCCGGACCAGCCCTGAGCCTCTAGGGCATGGTTTGCTTTGACAGCCCCTGGCAGCCACTGCCCTGCGCCACACTTGTTATGCTGCGTCCGATGGCCTCCGTCAACCCGCCCCTCCCACCACCCACCACCGTTCAGAGGCGTCCGTTCCGCTGCCACACAGCCTCGGAGGCAGTCTGGCCTCACTGCCCCGACCTGGCTGAACTTCCACCGCCACGGATGTCACTCTACATCCTTCAGGGCCTGCCGAAAGTTCACGGGGACCTAGAGCCCCCAGGATGCCACCTGCTTCCAGCTTAAAGCAGCAGCAACAGAGTGACACCCTGCGTGCCCTGAGCCCTCCCAAGCCAGCCCTGCAGTGGTGTGGGAGATCCACGGAACCTGGGCTGCACCCTGCGCATTAAGACTGCAGGCGCTTCACAGAGGAGGGTACTGAGGCTCAGCCTGCCACGGGTCACGCAGCCACCTGGTGATCTAGGGCAGGCATCCCGCCTCCTGCTGTGACGTCCTCCCAGCCATGTCACGCATGTTGGCTCTACTCATGCTCAGCTGAGCTGTCACATAACGGCTCCACCTAAGGTGATCTGATCCACTCTTTTGGGCCAGAAAATCCAGAAGGTGAGGACAGTGGTCTGTGTTTCCTACTTGCTTCAGCGAGGGCTTTACAGATGCCGAAAGGGTGAATCTGTAGCTGCAGAAAGAACCAGTTAACTTGTGAGTAGTGTGGAAATTAGCCAACCACATACCCTGCTGTCTCTCCTAGCTGCTTGGGCTTCAAATGGAAAAGAATAAAATGACAATATTTGAGCCATATTCTGCAAACGTGACTTGTCTAATTTGTTTTCTGGAACGTGACTTCCATCGCGAATGCGCTGGACGCACTAGCGTGAGATGCAGGACGGAGGGGAGGGGCGGCGGTGCTGGGAACGCCTGTGACGATGAAACCCGACCCCCGAGCCTCCTCTGTAGGACGCCTTTCAGCCGCCTTGTGCTGCCAACACCCTCACGGTCAACAGCGGCTTTGCTGAAGGGTCCAAGCCAGAGCCTGCTCACTGCCTTGTTCGCCTCCTGAAGCAGTTTTGTTGGGTTTAATTGATACACTGGGGAAGGGCTTGAATCTGTCACCTTCCTTTCTATAGAGGAGAAAATTAAGGATGTTTAAGGGTGTTTATTCCCCAGCTGGGTCTTACACTGTGCAGCCATGGAGGAGGCCGTGCCCCCGACTCTCTACGCTGAGCCTGTGGCAGGAGGATGCTCCACTGCGCAGGTGTGGAAGGGTCAAAGCCACGTTCACGGCACAGGGAAGGGCCCTGATGGAGGGTTTTCCTAAGTTTTCAGAAGGGAACAAGTCAGAGATCCAGCCAGGAAACCCGTGCTGTAGAGGAAAAGCTCATCATCATCTTGCAAACTGCACTGACAACACGCAGAACTCACTGCACCTTTGTTGAGCACTTACCATGTGCCAGGTACTATGCTAAGGGCTGTTATCTTCACAATAATCTCAGGAGGAAAATTTTGTGCCCACTAGTTAGGGATGAGGAAACTGAAAGTCCAAGAATTTACATAACTTACCTAAAGCTGCTGGCTGCTAAGCGGGAAAACAATATTTTGAACCAAGGTCTTGCAGACTCTAAGCTTGTGTTTGCAAAAACGGTGCTGCCTGGCCTCGCCTTCCGCAGCTTGCCTTTGGAACCTTGTGCCAAGAGGCTATTAAATTGCTCGTAGGTACATTTCCTGCAATTAGAATGTGCTCGTCCGCGCGGCACTGCGAGGTGTGCTCAAGTCCTGTGCAGGCTGCGCCTGAAATGAGAATAATAACAGGCTTTGCCTTCCCTCCTTTTGAAAATGAAAATTGCTTTTTTTCTACATACATTCATTTTAAACACACTCATTTCCAAATACGCATTCTAAAACGACATGAAAAACATGTATTCTGTAAAATCGCACCATCAATTGGCAAGTGTTCTTAGCATTTCGGGGAGGGGGACTCGGTTACATTTCCCGCCCTCCGCAAATACCACATGCACGTCTTTCGCACGCACTCGCTCGGTGCGTGTGATGGGGCTGCGAGATAAGCACACAGTTTGGAGGCATCGTCCGTGTTGATGGTCACAGCACTGCACATGGTTGTGAGTGGCACAGAGCTGCACGTGTACATCTGCACCACAGTTCATTTCTCTAGCCTCTCACTCGTAAACATTTAAGTTGTTTCTAGTTCGCTCCTATTATAAGGAGTTTTGATGATGGACTTTCAACCTATATCTTTAGCATCTGTCCACTTACCTTAAAATAAGTTCCCCAGTACTGACATTTCTGGACCAAAGACATACTTTGGGAGGAGCTAGAATAAGTATTGCTCCCATTCTTACAAGAAGAATAGCTGGATACACGGCAAGTGCGTACTTGTCTTGAACCCATTGGAGAACTAAGGTCGAAAAGCAAGTGACCCAGAATCTGGGGAGAGACAGGGGCCTGCAGGGAGCACCCGGCCATGAGCACGTGCTTACCTGGGCAGATGCCATATTTAATAAGTTGGTGGAAGACTCTTCCTGGCTTTTTCTCTAGAAACCCACCACGTGTCCACAGAGCAGCGAGAGAACCCAGAGTCAAAAGGACGAACAGTAAAGTGGGACCCTGAACCGCATCCTGAAACAGGAAACGACGTTACTGGAGAACCTGATGAAATCTGACAAGGCCTGGAGTTTAGTTAACAGTAATATGCCAATGTCAATTTCTTAGTTTTCGCCAGTGTCCCACGGTCATGTACGATGTTAATGTTGGGGATACTGGGTCTACACATGCAGGAACCCTCTGCACTGTTTTGCAGTTTTTATGTAAATCTAAAATTATTCTAAAATAAAAAGTTTAGTTTAAAAACTAAGAGCTTTTTTTATTGGGATGAAAAATCTTATTACAAACTCATCAATTAGCAAAAGAAAAAACACCCGATTACACTTTGGTAACTTTCTTTGCCACATGTGCCCAGTGAACTTTATTTTCAACTTCAAAGTTCTTGATAGGAAAGTTCTCTTAGGAAAACCTACAGGTTTCCCATCGTTCAGTTCCCTTTGTCACTCACCCTGGTCATGGTGGTTTAGGGTACAAAGCAAGTCCCAGACTCAAGGCTGGGTCCTGGGCTCTGGCTTTCCAGCTCCTTCCTTCATCTGCCAGGGACTTTGCCCGTCTCAGGAGATCATCCCTTGTATTTGGAGGAGTCCAAGGGGGAGACAGCACTTTGTTCCAGCAGCTGTCCTGTCCTGCCTCAACGGACAGGCTGGTGGCTAAGATCGTGGATGTTGCACCCTCCAGCCTGGGTTGTGACGACGGCTCTGCCCCTTGCTGCCTGGTCACTTGGGCAAGGGAAGCTTTCCATGCTCTCGTCTCCTCATTTCTAAAATGTAATAGGAATAATAACAGAGCTACTGTGAGGACTGAGTGAATGAATACAAGAAACACTTAGAAACAATGCCTGGTTTAATAGAAATTAATCTTATTGTTCTGTTGGGGTTGCTATAATGATAAACAGAATCCAAGTGGCCACCAATGATAGGCTTAGCCTGGCCCATGTCACCCATGGGCATCTGCAGCTCTGTTCCATTCGTCTTCTCTCTCTGGCCAGGGGTGGGTGGAAAAGTGCAGTGAGACCCGAGCCCGGCGTAGGACTGGGGCATTGTGTGGGACTCTACACCCCAGCCAGGAGGATGGAATCCGCCAGCCCCACTCACACTCCGTTACGCAAAGCAAGTCCGGTGGACAGGCCTGGGGCCAATGGTGTCAACGGGGGCAGGAAAGTGTAGTCCTGTTACAGGGAGAGAAGTGAATAATTGGAAGCAATAAAACAATTGGCCGCAACTCTTGTGATTAAATGTTATCATTCCTGTGCTTATAAGTGCAAATCCCCACAGCCAGTTCTTTGCAATAAAAGAACGTGGTAATTCTCCTTTTACTTACCTTTGAAAAGGGCCTCCCCTTCCCTTCAGTCTTATTAGCAGGGTTTGCAACTTGCATAAAACAACTTTCCTCTTGTGCATGAATGTCTCTATCCAATCACTGGAGAAGAGACACAACATTCCATCAAGGCAGCTTCTCAGAATGGATTTTTGAAGGAACAGGCATCACTAAGACAAAATGTTAGAAAAGTTCATTGTAAAATAGTTTCATGACAAGGTGTGACAGCATTTGATTCAGAGAGAAAGAGGCTAGTGTAGAGCCCAGTGTGCTCCTGTCCTCCGCAATTGTCTTCTTGGGGCCTCCTGGTCTTGTCCAGTTAGCAACAAACCAACCCTGATAGTCCTGGAGCACTGTGGGATTCCCAGTCACTTCTCACACAGAGAACATCGAGTCCTCTCAGATCCCAACTCCAGGCCACACCCCCACGGCCAGACGTGTACTACGCAGCACTCAGGTCTTACGGGGAGGAGGGACGGAGGGGAGGTGGAAGGATTTCATGGGTATTTAAAGTTGAACATTACAGATCCAAGACCAAATGCCACAAAGGTGACTTCAGAAGAAATAATTTAGTTGTAAATTTAAGGGAATGAATAATCAAGAATTAGCTCTCTGATGCATAAATTATGCCCTCGGAGGATTTTATGTCTTAATTCCCTGACAATAAGCATGATAATCATCTCAGATTCTCAAGTTAGCCATTAGGAGCACTTGAAGTGCCAGTTTTTCTGCAAGCAGGACAAGGAAGAAGCCATTTGGTGGTTACAGTCACATTCCAGTAGAACTCTACACAGCATTGATATTCATTCTCAGTGGTTATCAAGGTGACATCTACTGAATAGCCCAGATTTATGGGAGATTCATTAAGAAGTCAGGCGGTGACGCTGGCACCACACCTGTCTGACAGTTAATGGCGTCTCACCAGGAGAGAGCTGAAGGTCCAAAATGAACTTACCAGAAACTGCATGTTTGAGGTAGAATTTAATATCCATTTCTCATCTAAAACCTAAAAAGATATCTTGATCATTTGCAAGTTAGACACAATTTATTGGTGATATACCTCTAGTAAATGTGAAATATATTCACACATGTAAACAAAAGGTACACACACACATGTACATTTAACCGTATATGCATGTATCTCCCGGAAGGTCCTCTCCTCTCTTCCGCGGCCGTTGGCTTCCTGAGCAGGAGCAGGTGGAGAGCTGCAGCCCTCTCCTAAACGTTTTCCACCTTCCGATGCTGCTGAGCAAGCTGGTCAAGACCCCCAGGGAGCAAGACCCAGAGTGATGTCAGGGAATATAACCATGTGACCTAGCTGTGTGCGCATCCGCCACCTTCCGCATACTCAGCTGCGCACTTCCACAAACATTAGCTTCCAGATCGCTACGCGCCCCTGAAGTGGCATCATCATTTGCACTTTATCAGCAGAGGAAATCAAACTCAGACACGTAAATTTGGGGCTATACATGATTCTCCCGTAACGAGTGTGTCATGGAAAACTGTAATAGGCAGATGCACATCTACATACGCATATAAACACACAATCTTTGCACGGGTGATGAAGTCCGAGAAAACTCCAATAGAACCCAGCAATTCCCAGGGATTACTACTGGCTGGTGCTGGTATGCCTTCTTCTACCTGCTGCAAAGCAGTGCTGCTCAGTGTACAAGTGAGTGCATGTTACTGCCCAGCCCTTCTTGATAAAGTCCTTATGAATGGTGAGCTGTCTTCATCTAGTTGTTAAGGAAAGCTTCCTAAAGAGTCTGTCCCTTCTCCTTGACCTCACCTGGCCAGGTCCCGATTGGTCGGATTCAACTCTTTTTTCCACGTGCACATCCACAGCTCAAGGTACCTGGAGGAAAACACAACCAGGCTACCTGGAAGTGACTGGAACCCATGAGTTCATCTCAAGAGAGCCCTGGTGCACCTGGCAGATTTCTGCAGCTCCCCAGCTTGGTTCACAAGGGGTGGTCCCCTGGCCAGCAGCCCTTGCCACAGAGAAAGCCTGCGGTGAGCCACAGCAATGCCAGCGTGCCCGTGATGCTGAGGGGCGCTCCAGCTCGGCCTCACTGCAAACACTCTGACGCTTGCTCCCCAGTCCTCCTAGGTGGCCGTGCCACGGCTGCTTTCCTGTCCTTGAAGCAGATATGCCTGGCTCCATCCTCCCTCACAGAAGATCTCGCTTCCTTTTTTCCTAGGAATGCAGCCACAGGCAGGAGGGGACTTCCATGTCCTGCCATCACCTCGCAGCCAGACCCCACGCCCCGCCCTCCCTGGTGCTGCTCTGGGTCACCTGCTCAGGCTCTTGTCCACGGCCATCCCTCCACCCTGAGTCTGGGCTTCTCGCCTTCCAAAGGCCCCAGGACAACACGGCTCTAGCAGCTCATCAAGTGTCTTCACTCCTTCGGATCCTTATACCGGTATATCTACTGGCAGCATAACTCCCGTCTAAACCTAAAGAAACGGACACAATCCTTACAGCCCCTTCCTCCCCACTTTTCTTTGCTCCCTTTATATTAATTTTCCTTGAAGAGTTGCCTGTGCTTGCATCCAGTGCCCCTGGCCCGCTTCCCCATGGAGCCTGTCCAATCCTGCCTCCATCCCTGCCTCTCACCAGACAGTGTGTATGGCGGACACTGTCCACCTCTCCCTGACCGAACCCACTGGTCTGTCTCCAGCCTCATTTCATACCTTTGTACCCAGCGTCTGAGTGTGACGTCCTCCCTTCTCTCGGGTCCTGGGACACAGCATTCCCGGACCCTCCTCCCTCCTTGCTGATATGCCTCAGTCTCCTCCGCTGGCTCCTCATGTCCCCAGCTTCACGGTCTTGGCACGCGCAGGGCTCCGTGCTCAGTTCTGTCCACGTCTCTGTTCTGTTGCATTCCTGTGGAGGGGTTCCCGGCCTCAGTTGCACATCAGAGTCACTTGGGGAGCTCTGAGCACTCCCAGTGCACCACAGATCAATTCGATCAGAATCTCTTGGGTGGGGCAGGGGCGTCAATATGTTTCTGAAGCTTCCCACGTGGTTCCTGGGTGCAGTCTAGTTTGAGAGCCACCCCTTAAGGGATCTCATCCAGTTTATTGGCAAATCACCTATATGCCGACAACCCCAACCTTACAGCTCTGGCCAGTCCCTCCCCCTCACAATCCGGGTTCCTACTTGGCACCCGCAGTCTGATGGCTAAGATGCAACTCAGAATGTTCCCACTGAAGTTTTGATGCTAAAATTCAACCACAGTCCTCTTCATCTTAGCAAATGGAAACTTCATCTTTCCAGGTGCTTCGGCGAACAATCGCGAGGTGTCCTGAACGCCACCCTTCCTCTCACCCCCTCGCCTCCAATCTGCAGCCACTGCCGCACTTCAGACCTGATCCATCCTCCGATCACTTCTCATCACCGTCCCTGCTGCCTCCATGGACCAAGTCATCGTCCTCTCCTTCCTAATTGTCATAGCAGCCTCCCTCATGCCTGTATGTGCGCCGTCCCATGCTCCTTTCCAACACAGCCAGACGTCCTTTTGAAAACAAAGTCAGTTCTTGTTTCTCCTCTGCCCAAACCCTCAGCAGCTTCTGATCTCCCCAAGGCTGGGACCCAAATCACCACTTTCTTTGAGGGATCTTTTCTTAATCATGTATATGTCTATTGGCCATCTCATGCCACTGTTAATCAGAGATCAAAACAGACGGTGGAATTGTCCCAGCTAACGAAAATTGTACCTCTTCTTTACAAGGCAAGAAAACATTTTTAGATAGTTCTGGATCAGCATTTTCTACACTTACTTGACCATGAAACATTTTAAAATGATAATATATTGATGGAACACCAAGAGGAGTTCATGAAATATAAATGTGGGCTTAGATTAAAGACAATAGCACCAAAAAAGTTCTCAAAGGTGAATTAATTACTTAAATAAGTGATAAAATGCAATGCCCATGCACCCTGCTTTATTACAGGACAAAACACAAATTAGAGGAATCTGCTTATGCTAAAGCTAATGAGAATAAAATATATCAATGGAAAGTCAGGTCTCTTTACATTTTGCAGTTTATTCCCCCAAATAATATTTCATTGAATAGTGCATTTCGGGGTCTGTTCTGAAACACACAGCTGCCTAAAATGAGGAATGACGTTGCTGAGTTTCATTCCCACGTGAGGTACGGGACCAAATCTATGTCTGTGTTTTGCTTTAATTAGAGAGGGATGTGGACATTCTGCTCCTCCATGCCTGCTCAACAAACAGGCAAAAATGTCAACTACGCTTGTCACAATATTCGGGAGCTGGGGATTTAGGCTGCCCCAAAATACCATTCGCCTTGGCTGTTGTTTATTCGTTGATCTGTTTTCAATATTTTAGAAACCAAATCTGCACCTTTCGCTCCACTGAGAAGTTTTCACTACAGAAGTTCCAGACACATTTCGAGGACCCCAAAAATCTTTGTCGCTGCGATTGCTGTTGTTTTGATAAAACTGCCTCCTTCCAGCCCCAGGCCTGTGGGGAACCAATTTGCACAGTATAAATATTTAAGACACCATAAATGTTGAATAATGCCACAAACAAATGTTGAAATATTCAGACAAAATACACAACACGGAGCAGTGGTCCATCAGGAGGCAGCATCCCTAGCAGGGCAGTTGGCAGATGCTGTCTGGACTCGAGGAGGTTCGCTCCGGCCGCCCGGGCCGGGAGACGGTGCGGTGGTCGTGGGCCGGAGTGCCTGGTCCAGTCCTGGTTCTGCCACTCGGCGGCTCTGGGCCAGGGCAGATGCTTTACCATCGCTGAAAATTACAGAGACAGTGACAGTCCTGAGGGTTAAGTATACGAAGCGTTACAATAGAACCTGGTACACAGTGAGCCTTATATGAGCATTAGATTATTTTTCTAAAATAGATTATCATGCAGTCATATAAACAACTGTGTTTGGTGCCTTTTGACAAATATTTGTAAAATACATTTTAAAAAGTGAAGGTTGGGCATATGATCCTCCCACTGTTCCAAGGAAATAATCATGAATTTGTTCCACAGATCACATTGGAGGAGACATTTTCCTAAAACAGCCGATACAGTCGGACTTTTTTCTCGCATCCGGCACCACATCGAGCCATCCATGGGACACTCATCTGGAAACAGTGATTATCATAATGGTATTATTTA